TTTATCTGTTGTCCCCTTCGTATCTTCTCATTTTGTTATTCTTTCGATATAGAGAAATAGAAGTAAAATCCTTTCAGATAAATAAGCCCTCTCCCTCCCTCCTGTTCCCAACGCAGCCTTGGTGTAAAACTGTTACAAAGAAAAGTATTAGGAATCTTAAAGTTCTTATATATTCAATCCAAATCCAGTTTACACAAAAACTGAAAATGTCAGAAAAGCCTGCAGACTGTGAAATTGATTCCGATACCGTGGAACTATATTTTGTCCTTCCACCATTATTAAAGAATGCAATCAGTAACGTTTTCTGTTTTATTTGCAAAACAATCAAGTATTATAATAATACTAATGATAAACTGTAGTGAGAATGAACCGAGGAAAAATTGTAGTTAGAAAAAGATCTTTCTTAATCTAGATAATGCAGTTATCTGAGGTTTTTAAATTTAGTTTTGATTTAAGGCAAAGAAAGTCCATAGTAACAACCAAAACCTTCCAAAGAACAGCTTAATTTAACAGAAGGTGTTTAACAAGAAAGGAAAGTGTATGAAGAAAGGCTAACTAGAAATAAATGGCTATTTAATGCTTCATGCTTCATTAGCTTTATAATCAGAACTCAAAGCAGCTACTTTAGTTCAAAACTATAAAAATAGATTTTTCATGTCACAAAACAAAAATATCTAAAAGATACATTTTGATCCCTGGAAAGGAAATTAAGGATCTCCGTGATAGCAAACTTAATACAAATCAACAGTGAAGAATATTTCACAGGATTTTGGAAAGCTTTTTACTGTGTAAATGTCCACGTGTGTGCTGCACTGGGCTGCCGTGCACTGACAGAGCCCGGCGTGCACACTCAGGGAGCACTTCCCTGGACGCCAACTTCTGCCACTGCTCGTGCTGGCTCCTGTGCAGAGACTACCCTCCCCTGGGCCTCTGCTGCCAGTGATCCTGTCACTTCTGCTCCAAAGTCATGTCCCACCCACCCTGCTCCTCACAACACTGTGTCGTCTTCCCATGGTGCCCTCCAGGGGACCCTGGAATCAGAGCTGCACTGACATGTCCCACGATCTCCCACTACCCCTCTGTTCACGTGGCACTCCCCAGCCAGCGCAGAACCAAATCAGAGTCAATCTTTCAAAATCCAGGTCAAATATTAGCTCCTGCTCCTGAGTTTTCACAGCCCACGAATGGCAAATATTTTAATGGCACTTGTCACTTTCTTTGATTTTCATCTGTGTGTGTGACTTTTCTCTCCCTGATGATATATAAACTTGAGGGGAGCAATCTGTATCTGATTTGTGGCTATGACAGAAATAGTCTTATCAGCTAACATTTACTGAACGTCTACTCTGCTAAGCACCGAGCTGTATGCCTGTCACACTTATCTCTAATTTTGACAACCTCCACGACTCTTGCAAAACAGATATGAGAAAGCTAAGGCCCAATAAGTTAAATAACTTGGCCAAATTTGCAAGTGCTAAGTTGCAGCCCCAGGACTTAAACCCAGATATGATGAACTTACAAAACTTGGCCAATTCACTGTGCTCTCTCCTCTCACAGTCCACATCCCCAGCACCGTGTTTTCTAAATAGTAAGTGATTAATACATACTGGTTTTGGTCACCTTGGCTAAAAGGTGACCAAACTCTTTGCTGTAAGAATACAGCAAAGAATACAAATACTTTTGTATCCTCCAGGTGCCAAGTATCCATTCTCTGCACAGCGGTCATTAAAAAATGTTAGCTTATGAAATACGACAACCATCGAAGTCCACTGTATGTAAAAGGCTGCTAATAAATGGCATGATTCCATAAAGTTAAGCTTTTAAGTGAAAATTCCTAGAGAGCGTATGTTGTGCCAAATGCAGTGAAAGCAGAACCCAAGGAGGAAGAGCCCTAAGAAAGCCCCGTCTCCCAGCCAGGAGCACACCTGGAAGGAGTCCAAGGCCCCTCCCAGCAGATCGACGCTTACACCTCCACCTCGACCCACGCAATTCCACAAATCACAGCTCAACAAGTCACTTATTCAAGTCCTCTACCTCACATTCCTACCCCTACTTTGAAATGTGTGATAATACCAAGAAGCTGAGCTAACAGATGAACTCAGCAGTAACTCTATCAAGAAAACTGACTTTAAATAATCCTTCTTAGTTTGTTTGGCATTAGCTTTAAAGCAACAATTTTAGGCCTCTTAAGGATGAAATAGGTGAATTTGTAAGAGAAAGACAAATTACTTTAAGTCCGCAATGTGTCACCGATTGGAGAAGGTACTTTACATATTATCGCTTAACCTTCCAAACATCCTACTGGAAGTATTAATACTTCCATTTTCAAGTAAAGAAACTGAGGATGGAAGGGTAAAGCTTGCTTATGAAAACACAATACATAAAAGAGTAAGAAAGCACACCAGATTTTGCTGACTTAGACCGTGTTGTTTCACTGTAAAATGCTACCTCTCTCCAAGGCCTTCCTCCCTGTGTGATGACCACAGCACTTGGAAACTCCCACCTCGTTCTGGAAAGCAACAGCCACCTCCCGGCTACAGCAACCCGCAGTATGCAAGGCAGACTCGCCTGCGCTGCACGCAACAGCGCCGCGTGGACACCGATACAGGACTCTGAGGTGCTACAGCTTGTCATTTCAGTACATTCTGTCCCCTGCCTGCATAGAAAAATCAAATTTGGATCTCAAGTATGGGCCCCTAATTTTACACTCCAAGAGCCTCTGCTGCCTTGTCTCCGTGGGTTTCGGGCCCAGCCTGGCTCACCTGCTCAGATGCTGCCCCTGGCCCTGAGGCGACCACAGATCCTGCGCTCTCGTCCCAGCTTCGTCCATGTCCACAGCCTTCCATCCTGACTCTGACCCACGCCAGTGGTCGGCTCTGACTGGCCCTGATCCATCGTGGCCCCCATAACTCGCAGCCATCCCAGCGCCCCAAGAACAGCCCTCGGACATTTCAGAAGCACTCAGGTACCAAACGGAGGAACGGCTAGAAACAATCTTACATATTAATACTTATTAAAGACATTCTTCATAAACTTGGATCAGGTAACTGTCATGGCATTTCATAACTTTCAACTACTTTTCTACAAATTAGTATAAATTTTTGAAGCTTTATAATAAATCGACAAGTAGAAAAAGAGAGCATTGTATGGGAAATGCAGAACATCATACTTTATCACTGGTGTTGATGTCGTCTATTTCCACAGAAAGGTCTTCTTCAATCTCTTCACCGATACTTATTTCACTTTTTTCTGAGCGATGGCTAGTACTAATTTCAGGAAGGAAAAAAAGAAAAATAAGGACTCTAAAAATAAACAATCCAGATTTTTAAAATTTTTCTGCTACATCATTTTCTCTTTCAAAAAAACTGTATAATCAATTACTCTGTTAAAAAAATAAATATACATTTTCTCTTTCAAAAAAACTGTATAATCAATTACTCTGTTAAAAAAATAAATATAAATTTCCAACTGAAAAACACCTGTCAATTAAATAAAATTGTCAGGCATCTAATTTAAAAATTTCTAATCATATTCAAAATATTACTTCTGCATTATTAGCCAAATCATAGATTATATCACCTTCATATATATATAAGAAAGTTACCTGAAACAAAGTATTAAGAAATGTCATCTAAGTTGAAAAATAATTTAAGAGGGCAACGTTTTTAAGCTGAATGTAGATAATTCCCACCACAAAGTGACGATGAAGGGAGAAGAGCACTTATAACCCGGCGACTGAACTGCTCCTAAGTGACTCCAGGTCAGTCTGCCAGTGTGATTTCTGTTATTCTTACCAAGTTTCTTGAACGTAACATAGAGTCCATATTCTAATGTAAAAACCAAAAGCATGTTCCAAAGTCAAATATATAATTTTGGGTTAGCTACCTTCAAGCAAAATGAATAAGGGAATCAAATATACTAAAATCAGCACCAATGTAATTTTGTCTTATCAGTGTTCAGAAACTGTATACATACATACATACATATTTTCCCAACTATTTCTTACCTATTAAAATCATCAACATAGTCATCTTCTTCTCCAGTCCCTGATAAGTTTAAGAAAAGATACATGTTATATTTACACATACACACGTCGTGATGTACCTACAATTAAATATACATGTTTCCTTAAAAAGAAAAACTACATATGAATGATGAATTACAATACATCATTAAAGAAGAAGTCCCAAAGACCAGAAATATTTTTAATATCTAATACAAAGGCAAACAAAAAAATGAACTACCTACGAAATAGTAAACCGTTATAAGCAATTATACCACACCCTAAAATGTGGTTAAGGCCTCGTCTTCGCTCCAGGTACTCGCCAGCGTGAATCACAGAGCACGCTCCCCATTAATGACGCCCTCTGACCTAATGGCTACAGCAACAGCAAGTCATCACCAACGCCCTCTAGTTACCTTTTTTTGAACTACTGAGACTTTTCAACTCAGTAATTATTACAAAATTAGAAATGATCATGAGGTGTGACAAGGAAACAGAGCACGGCAAGTAAGAACACCCACAGTCAGACAGTACTGGGCTCACACCTCAGGCCCCCGCCCCGCCCCAGCAGCTCTCCAGCCTCCGCGGAGTTAGGTGCCCTTCCCTGGCTGTGTCCTCAGCCACGCCCATCACAAGGCTACCAGGAGGATCCGTGCATGCGATGCGCTTAACCGCAAGCCCCTAACAAAGGGAACCTCTGAGGGAGCGATGCTGACCGACGAGGCAGCCTTGCCAGTTTCTCGCACTGCCCGAGGGGGCAGACAGAGTGGGCACCTTTCAGACTTATTCAAGGCTATAAAGGACAAATGTACGAATCAGCTGCCGTTCCCTCCCATGTTTTCTGAGGGCGAGCTGAGGAAACAGGGTTGTCAACCACAAGGCAAAGACATGGAGGCACACGACAGCGACTTAAACTGTGAATGAAGAGCACACGGGAGACACGTGGAATTCAGTATGGCCACAGGCAGAAGATGCAGATCACAAAGAGAAATTCTGGCTCAACAGCAAGCGGTTCAAAGATGCTACGGGCACTGTCCTTGCTCCTCTACAGCATAAGGCTGGACTGTCTCTAAACCGGTTATAGTTGAGGGATTCAAGTTTTGGACAGGCAGTTTGACAAGACAATTCTCCTAAATTAAATCCTACGATTAACTTATTCATTTATCAAATATGTGAGTGACTCCTCAGTCCCCTGGGTTATGGCAATGGCTAACACGTATCTCTGATCTCAAGGAGCTATCACTCTAATGGGAAGAAAGAGGCAACACACGGTGGAACAAACTGCAAACTGCGAGGGCAAGTGGAAGCACTCTCTGAGGCAGCCACTGAGCCGAAAACGAAGGAAGGCACCAGAGGTACAAATTATTCGGCACAGTATGTTCCAAGAAGAGGAAACACATGAAAGGCCCTGAGCTGGGGCAGGGTGCGGTGGTCTGGAAAGCCACGAGTGAGGAGCTAGTATAACCAGAGAGCAATGACTCTGGGGCAGAGTTGGGGGATACGACAGGAGTGGAGACCAGAGGGGTTGGCAGAAGCCAGCTCCACCAGGGCCTGGTGGGTCATAGGCCGGATTTTAGCCTAAATGCAAAGGGAAGCTTGTCTGGGGGTAGGGGAGACAGGAGTGAAAGAGAACGGGGAGGCACGATCTGATTTCTGTTTTCCCCCAGATACTCTGACCACTGCAAAAGGAATGTGTTTAAGGGAGGCAAGAATGAAAGTAAGGAAAATACAAGGTGTCACAGAAGCCCAGGCCAGAGGTGACTGGGGCAGGTGTCCTACAGACAGGACGGATAGATGGTATGGGCAGGGAAGAAGTGAGTATCAGAAAACAAAGAAAAGAAGAATCAATATTACTGCTACCCCCGAAGCAGGGCCAGCAATTATCAGCAATCCCTGATTATAAGGAGCTGAGGGTCGGGGGACAAGTTTGTTTCCAGGTTGCTATCCTCTCTAGAATAAAGAGCCTGTCTCCACTGGCAGCCTCAAAGATGAGGGGATGCAGGTGCGTGCGAGAAAGGAGGCACTGCCAGGCAGGGCAGAGGAAGAGCGGGAGGGTGGGACTCTCCTGATTATGCACACCCACAGAGGTGGTTGGTTTGCAAGTGCCAAGAAAAACTAGCAAGGGCAGCTACTAAAACCTGAAAGCTCCAAAGACGAAGAGTGGAATGCACCAGCACAGAGAGCAGAGGTGGACACTGAGCTGAGGTGCGGGGACAGCTGAGGCTGCAGTCTGGATTAGAGGATGCCACCTGGCTCCCCCCCCCAGCATGTGCAGCCAACCCAAACACAAGACAGTTACTGAATAATGCACGACAACACATTACATTCTGACTTCCTGCTTATGCGTCACACAGCATTATTGTAACTTAACAAGTCAGTGTCAACATGAGTGGCTTCACAGAATATATACAGGCTAAGCATCCCAAATATGAAAATCTGAAATCCAAAATTCTCTAAAATCTGAAAATTTACGAATGCTGACATGATGCGCAAAGGAAATGCTCACTGGAGTATCTGGGATTTCCAGATGTGAGATGCTCCACTGGCAAGTATGATGCAAATGTTCCAAAACCTGGACTCCAAAACACTTCTGGTCCCAAACATTTTGGAAAAGGGCTAAACAACCTGTACCACATTACTTGAAACTAGGGGTCGACGAACTTTGGCCCAGAGGCCAAGGATTCCTGTTTTCTTTGTTTTCTGATATTCTTTCCTCCCCACCCAAGACCACCCATCTGTCCTACTGGCAGGATCCTTCACCCAAGCCACTGTCATCTCTGGCCTGGACTCCGTGACAGCCTGTTTTCCTTCCTTCATTCTTCACTCTGGCCAACAACCTGCTTTTGTTAGGCCTATGAGCCAACAATGGCCTTTACATTTTTAAAGGATTATTAAAAAAAACAAATATGTGACAGAGACCACCTGTCCCACAAACCCTAAAAGATTACAATCTGGCCCTATACAGAAAAAGTTTAGCAACTCTGGCTTTAAACCTGCAAAGTGCCCGTCTATAAACGTTCCATTTGGGCAACTGTGATTAATGTTTGCCTGCCTGCCAAACTAAAACCGGCTGTGCTCTAAAGTTTTACTTGCAAATTATTTCTTGGGAATGCAGAATTTATTTTCCCATAAAAATGATATGTAAATAATGTCTACATAACGTGTAGGCAGTAAAACACAGAGGTTAGGCTCTTTGGTGCTATATGAGGATTCCAAAAGCAGCAAGTTATTTAATGTAGGTCCTTCATCTGTAATAATGGAGATAATAAGAAAACCTACCTCAAAGGCTAAGAACGAAATAATTCCTTGGTACAGTGCCAGGCACATGTCACTAACATCATAACCCTAGGCTAGTCCACTAATATTTATACATTACTTAAAACACCTATAATACTGCATGTATATTTATAATGGGGAAAAACCCCAAACAGAAAACAACACTGTTGTGATACCATTAAACAAAACTAAATAAAACTGTTTACTGAATCCTAATGCCTGGCTCAGCTAGTAAACTGGTACGTCTTACCTGTACAAGTACCCAAATTCCAAGCCAAGGTATGTCAAGGTCCCCACAGAAAGCGAAGTGAAGCCGTACGCCACCTTTCTACCCTACAGGGCGGCCCCAGGGCAGCCACCTTTCCCCCAGGATGAGACTCCCAGCAGCTCCTCCTCAGGAACAGAACAGGAAGCCTCCGCTTTGATGAGAAAGCAGAGTAGTCAGAGAGGGAAGCCAAAAGGTTTGGCAATAGAGTGAAACACAGAAGTGAAACACAAACACCAGAACAGGAAGGGGACAGGGCAGCTGTCCAGCTGCAGAGGTCAGGAATAGAGTTTCCAGGTGGTGGTGATCCAGGCAGGTGGGTGGAAAAGAACATGTCTCACTGCAGACATACCGCACCTAACAGGGCAAGAACAGAGCAAGGCAGGGCAGCAGGCCCACCTAGCTGGCCAGCCAGCAACGCAGAGGCCCAAGGAGCAGAGGGCAGTTACCAGAACTCTAGGGCACTGTGTGGAACAAGATTCTGGGCAGCTCAGGGAACAGCTATTCTTCTGCAAATGGCTGCAAATGGGGGAACAAAGTGACATAAAAAGGAAAGTAACATTTATTGGGCACCTAGCATGCCAGGCACTGGACTTTTACTTATGTATGGATACATACTTAAATCCATTTGCTCTTCAAAACAAGGTAGATGTTATTAGTTCCACTTAACAGATGAGGAAATAGAAGCTCAACTTATTTACCTACCCTACCCACCAATCAGTGCCACATCTGGGATTTTCACTTACATCTATCCAGCTCCAAACCCAAGTTCTTTGCACTGTCAGAAATGTTTCTCCAGAAGTGGGAAGGACATTCTCTGAGCTGTCCCCTCAGACATGCCTGAGGTTGCAAAGCGCATACAGGTGACACGTCCTTCTTCCGCCCCAACCTGCCTATGAAGCTATGTTTTGATGCACACGGGACAGGACGTGGCCCAGGGGAACCCAGGCTGCTCCACTTACTCAGGTCAGCAACTAAGCTCGCCTAAGGTATGCCTACTGTATCTGCTACAGTCCTGCACGGAAGAGAACACTGGATGAGAACCATGTTCTTGATATGGCCACGGGCTCGGTAATGCTCACAAGGAGACTCTGACTTCCGTAGGAACGAATTTACTTATGTGGCAAGTTTACCAACTTCTGCTGTGTAATAGAACTGAACACAACTCACAATTTCTCTTGACAAGTTGTTTCCCCGGTAGACTGAATTCCCTCAGGCCTGGACCCATACTCCCAGCACCTAGCGGGTGCCTCTGCACAACTTTCAGTCCGACCGAAATCTCTCCCCTTCTCCCTGCGCACGTCCTCGCCATTCAGTCTTGGCGCAGAAGCCAGCTCCTGTAAGAGACCTGCTCCGAATGCCTGGCCCAGGTCAGAGTAACCCACTACCCGTCTCCATACCCACATACACGGACCCTCTGAACACTCAAGATACCTGTAGGTGCCTGTTTACATCTATCTTTCCTACTAGAATTGAAACTCCAGGAGGACAGAGGTCTGCCTTGGCTGTTGCTATAGCCATCTCTGGCACAGGGTGTAATCCTGGACACACGAAACTATCCAAACACCTGCTGAATGAACAGCTCAGTGTAGGTTGACTGAGTCACTCCATTTAAAATCTTACACTAAAAATAATCACTTTAAAGCAATCAACACTAAAATTAGAAATCTAGTTACCTAATCCAAGTGATCCAATTTTATCATTGACCAATTTCAGATCTTTCAAAACTGTGTTTGCTCTTTTACCTGTGAACAGGAAAAAATATTAGCATTAAAGTGACTTTTAGAATACGATACTCTCTAAACCACATCAATTTTTTCCCCCATGTAGGGCTTCTTTATGACAGGAGCATAACAACCTCAAACTAAGAAAAAAATAAAAACTGCGATTAATGGATGCTTATTCATTACATTTCTTTTTTAACCATGAACAATACTACTCCTTATTGGAACACAGCCACTGAAGACACTTTTTGGTCCAGCGATAAGACATTGTCTTCCATAAGTAGCACCATTAAGTATGAATTCGTGGACTATAGTTCATTATTTTCACCAATTTTATTTTTCCTTTGAACTTCTAAATTTTGCTTCAACTCAACTGCTATTTTTCATTAACCAAAGTGATCTCCTCACTGGTTTCTTTAGTCCTTAGCTCTCTCAACGTCCTCTAAATGAACATTCCCCACGCAGTGTCAGAGTGGCATGACCACGTCCAGATTCCTTTCCTGACGGTGGCACTGACCACGGGAGAGGAGGAGGAGAGAAGCGGTGTGGGTCGCAGTAATGGCTGGTTAACCAGATGTCTAAGAGAAGCAACAAACCATCTCTTTCATGTGTTCCAGGAGGTCCCACAGTTGTATTACATAAGACAAAAAGGTTAGGAAGCACTGCAAAATTAGGCAAAACTCATAACACAAATGAGTGAGTCTACTTTAGGAAACTTTCTCAAAAGAGGTATACTTACACTCTGAACACTCTGCCAACTGAATCTTAGATTCACTATGACATAGCATACAAAGTTTATCTGTATATGTATGTGGTTAGGGCTATGATTTTATGTTCCTTGGTGCTGCTGTTGTGTGTGCGGAGGGCTGGGAAGGTAACTGGTACAGTAGCTGGGCCATTCTGCCTCTAGCTAGCAATCTTCACCTCTGCTACATGTAAAAAGATATGTCAGATTCAAATCCCTATAGGTAGAATGTTTTATTTAACATTTCAGTGATAATTACTGTGATATCACAGAATTTTAAAAAATTAATCGAACTTAAATCCAACTCAAGGCATCCTAATTGTCCAAGAAGAGATGATTTAAAAATTATATCTATAGAAAATGTAATTACATCTGTAGATATAAAAATTGTATCTACAGATAATATAAATCAGCTAAAAAGTCAACTTCCTACAAGTATTTTATGGCACAGTAAGAGGCAGAATACAAAACAATATAAAGGATACTACCACATTAAAGAGAAATTTAAAAAATAATAAAATATTAACAGGAAGTATCTCTGAATGATAAAATTTGGAGCTATTTTTATGATTTTCCTAAAAAAATAATCCATTATTATATACTACTTAATCAAAGAAACAATATCCTGAGCATTCACACCATGTCCCCGGGCACTTACTCTTGGAGTCTTTCAGTGAGGGGGCTCCCGCCAGGGAGCTCAGTCCACTCTTCGAGGGGGGCGCATCTGAGAGTGAGGCCAGGCTTCCCACTTGCTTCCGAGGTTCACTTCTCCTGGCATGAAGCAAGTGACAGTTAAATGGTAATCTTGTATCCTGCCACTAAAGCAAAAGCAACTTAAAGATATTTTATATACATACAGTGGCTAGAAATAAAGAATATACAGTATTACAAATTCAAAATCAAAGTATATCTACAAGGCAGTGCAGAATACAGATCAATCACAAACCCTTGTAGCAAGCTTGTCAGTAAGAAATCAGTTCACCTCTCTTTAGAATTCTGCTTGATATCTTACAAACTAAACTGACCTGCAACATCTTCACTGTCTGGGAATTTTTTGGAAGCTCTTTTATCACCAAGAAATGCAGCTGAGTGACAGTACAGGAGCCTACTAGCAAACAAGTACTATCACTCAGATGCATGTATGCGTCAGAGAAGGCACAGACAGCCACGCTGATGGTCTCCTCTTGAAATCACGACCGCTCATCTCAAGGGGACCTTAATACTGCCCAGCAACCCTACCCATTCCCACAGCCCCTTCCTCTCCTTGCTTTCTTACAGAACCCACGTTTCTCCACTCTCCCCAAATCTCCAACCCTCCTCCCTCCATCCTCACTCAACTACAGACTCAGGTGAGAACCTGCAAAGGTGCCACCCAAGTGCCTGGAGGGGGCCACACACTCTCCCCTCTGCCAGCAGAGGCAACCCGGCACGGACTCCATCCCTGGGCAGCCCTCCAGGAATCCTCCTCTCGTTCCCTCACATCTGTGATTCTTCTGTCTTCAACACTGGATCATTCCCATCAGCACACACATGTGCCGTTACTTCTCCCCCTTAAACAAGCGCCTCAGCCCCTCCAGCCACCACCCTGTGACAACAACACAAAATCAGATTTATGACCTCAGCAATTATAGAACCATTAGTAGTAGCTCATTATATAAAATATTAATAAAAGCACCTAGAAATTATATTTTTAAATCTCTAGTCTGATAATCCAAACAGTTTACTCACCAACCGTAAGTTTTTTCTGGTTTGGGAATGGGATCATCAAAGAAAGAATCTCCATCCGTATCATCTTCAGCCGGGCAAAGGTCAGCTTTGTCTTTGACATCTGAAGTTTTGTTGCTTAGGAAAGATCCAATTTTTGTTTCATGGGCCAGTAAGTGAAGATTACTTTTGCTCTTTGGTTCTAATGAAGAAACACTAGTATCACTTTGACTGACCTCACAGTTGGCCTTCTAGAAAAAGAGAGAGAGAGAGAGGAAAACAGAGAGAGAAAGAGAGAAAAGGTCTCTTCAATGAGATAAAACTTTAAGACATTTTAAATAAGTCATGTGAACATAGGTAAACCTGTGTGTGTGTGTGTGTGTGTGTGTGTGTGTGTGTGTGTGTGTCTCCTCCCCACAGCATGAACTGCGGAATAATCCCATGATGTATCCCTTTAGCCCCAGGCTTCCTAACATGGCTAACTTTCAAAGGGGAAAAATGTTAAAGAATATGCTTACACCATTCCTTTCCTCTCACCCTAAGTGGAAATATCTTATCTATACCTACCTCATTTATAAACAACTTTCCCACTTAAAAACAATTTTCCTGTTTCCCCTCACATATGTGTCACTGCTTCATAAGTTAATACATTTTCAACTTGCAAATAGGAGAGGGTATTACTATTAAAAGAGAAAAGGAAGATGATTTCACATAAACGAACAAAGCATTAAAGTATTCATCAGCAAAAACGGCAGTTTTCCATCCAGCGCCAAACATGACAGACATCAAGGAGAAAGGTGCTGAATTCGACCACTCGCCCTCATCTTAAATTCAGGCTTTCAGAGCGGCTCCTACACCCACTGAAAAGTCCACAGATGGGTACGTAGACTTCTGCGTATCTTAAACCAATGTTAAAAAAATTCTGAAGCATTCTTAACCACACCCTATGGACACATAGTGATATTGGCACAGAATTATTTTCTTGTTATTTTCTTGTTTTCAGTTAGTCCTAACATTCATAGCCTAAATTTATTCTATCCTTGGTCAGATTTCTTTTTGCCCATAGACATGTCTATGTCAATAATAACAATGAAAACAAAAAATAATGCTAGTAAGAATAAAAGCAGCTAACATTTATGGAGAGTATTCAAGTGCTTCAAATGTCATTTCATTTAATCTTCAAAATAATCCCATGGTATGGGGATACGTTCTCTTGCCTCTGTAGTTATGAAAAAGGAAACACAGAGACATTTATGTCACCTACCAAGGTCACCAGGTAGTTTAGTGATAGGGTGACTATCAGAGTCAAAGCCTGATTCCAGAGGTTAACTCTTAACACTTATGCTATTAGGTTGAATTATACGAAATTGTGGTTTTAAAATGGCAATTTCCCAAAATTCGGCCTTACATACCAAGGACGGCGGTACCGTGCAAGGTACCTGTGGAGTGCGAGAAAAGGCGCTCACCTGAAACACAGAATCTGGACTGTAGTCCACACCCAGCTGTCAACTGCATAATCTTAAGTAAACTAATTTTCCTAGGCATGAGTTTCCTCAAAAATTGAACTAGATTAGTATTTTCCAAATCAGATTATAACTAGGAGTAAGAAAGAAAGGACGGTAGCTGGGAAAGAGTCACACAGTAGTAAGCACCGAAGCAGGGCAGTGAACACGTGGGTCAGACATTACTGAGCAAGCTGCTCTGCGGGCTGCTCCCCTCCAGCACGTGCGCGGACAGAATGCACTGTGCCCGTCTTACGACGTGCCTTTACATTTCACACCAAGCGGAGGCCTTAACTAGTTGACAGCTGGTAAGATACATGCTATATAAATTTTAGGGCCCTGAATAGAGCCATACATTCCATGTTATTAATACAGATAAATTAATGATTATATAAAGAGATACCTAGAAAAATAGATATCATCCTTTTAGACATCATAGGATATTTTCAAAGAAGCAGAAACTTTTTTAAATGTCCTAACAACTTTTTTGAAGTTTTCCCAGTATTATCAAATACAGTAAGCATCACGTACTTTTATTTTTCTTAATTATGTTCAATCTAGTTGCTATTTAGGATTTATAAATGTTTTCATAATTGATATCTTTTTAAAGGCATATGCATTTGGAAATAAATACCCTGAAGTCTTGTGTTATTTAAACAGATTTACAGACAGATTTTCTCCTTGAAAACACTACTGAGAAAGTTCTGAAAGATAACTGGCATGAAACAAACTGAAAAGGGAATGTAGAGCAACATTACAATAATTTTTCTAATAAAGTCGTTCTTCCCCATGAATTCACATTACCAACATAATTTAAGTCTACCTAATGAGCTAATATCTAAGCTTAGTAACTAACATGTATCCATGATTATTTTTTGACTAGTTTTGGCAATATTCCTGCATGATGGAAGGACCAGTTCTAGAAAGACAAGTTTGATGGAAAAGGACATTATCATGTTATACAACACATATTCTTAAACATAACAGAATTACTTTAAAAACAATCTGCTTTCAAATCATTCTCAAAATCAATTTCTTTCTTCTCTCTCTCTGTTTCTTTTTTAATTAAACAGAGTCTTGCTCCGCTGCCCTGGCTAGAGTGCAGTGGCGTGACCATAGCTCCCAGCAACCTCAAACTCCTGGGCTTAAGCGATCCTCCTGTCTCAGCCTCCTGAGTAGCTGGGAATACAGCCGTGTGCCACACACCAGCTAATTTTTTTCTATTTGTAATAGAGACAGGGTCTCGCTCTCCCTCAGGCTGGTCTCGAACTCCTGACCCTCAAGGGATTCTCCCGCCTCAGCCTCTCAGAGTGCCAGGATTACAGGTGTGAGCCACCGCCCCCACCTCAAAATCAATGTCTAAACCACATGAGAACATGTCATTACTTTGTAACTATGTGGCTCATTGTTTTACCAAAAGACCATTACCCAACTGGGTTATTAATAAATTTACGAAACTTAATTCCAAATAACTTTTACTATTAAAAAAAATCCACATTAACAGGAGAAAGATCTGTCATTAAAACACTCTGCAGAGATTAAAACAAAAGTACTATAAAACTTAAGAGCAATTTCAATGGAGGAAGTCCAGATGTACATGCATATACAGATGCTCTCCAAAAACAGGGTTACGTCCTGATAAACCCATCATAAATTGAAAATATCTTAAGTTAAAAGTGAGCATTCTGTAGACAAGACGGGATGCAAAGACACAATATCCAAAAGTGCTGCAACACAGCACACTGCAGAGCATCAGCTGCTCACCCCTCATGATCACGTGGCTGACGGGGAGCTGCGGCTTGGTGCAGCGGCCCAGCATCAGGAGGGTTTCACACCACGCGCCACAGGCCTGGGACAAGATCAAAATCTAAAATTCAAAGTGTGGTTACTACTGATTTTGTATCAATTTTGCCCCGTTGTAAAGCTGAAAACAACATTAAGTCGACCATCTTAAGTTGGGGACCATCTGTATAGATAGGCATACCCTGGAATCTCTATTTAAAAAACCTTCATCATGGCTGAAGACATACCTTCATGTTACATACATAAACTTCAATTACTTGGGTTTTCCATCACCTAGATTTGGCTAACTTGAAGTTAAGATTCAGAATAAAGCTAAAGAGCTATGGTTAATTATTATTTAAAGTCAAGAAGAACAACTTAAAAAAAAAAAAATCTCACAGCAATGTCTTAGAATTCATTTCCTGAACAACCTTGGAAGTTGTTATGGGTTGAATTGTGTCCTATGAGAGAGACACATTAAGTCCTAACTCCCAGTATTTTAGAGTGTGACCTTTCTTGGAAACAGTGTCACTGCAAATGTATTTAGTCAAGACAAGGCCATACGGTTAGTAGGGTGGGCCTTGGCTCTGCCCCAACATGACTGGCGTCCTGGTAACAAGGAGAAGAGACACAGGGACCACACAGGGAACACCATGCAAAGATGGAGGCAGAGACTGGAGTGATCCGTCTACAAACCAAAGGACACTAGGACTGCCAGCAACCACCAGAAGCCAGGTGAGAAACTGCTGACACCTGATTTCCACCTTCTAAGCCTCTAGAGCTGTGAGACAATCCATTTCTGTTGTTTTAAGCCACTTGATGTGTGGTATTTCATTACAGCAGCCTAGTAATAGAGTTATTTATAATAACGAACTAAAACTTAAGTTCTATCTTTTCATGAAGGTGAGGGGCCCACTGCATAGCACTACATTCATTAAATTCCCTGGGATGGAGCTCAAGCCTAATAATAAGCTTTATGGTAAATTATAGTAAAGTTGTAAGAAAGTTTTAGGATATATTTAATTTTCCAATAGTACACTTACACAATCAAGAGTTCAATCAGTTCAGATAAATGGAAAATTAGAATTAGAGAGACATTTCACAGTGAAAAACACTACTAATTTTTCCATAGTCAAAAACTGAATTATCAGGAGAATGTCTTAAGAGCCTGGAAAAAAGAATTTTGTTTTTCCAAACTGAAGGCTTAATCTATACTGTTCACAGGAGGAGAAACGAAGTCAAAGAAATACTCCAGTACTTGCAAAAGTCTTCAAAAAACTCATGCAAGACAACTGTCCCTCACAATCCAGGACCTTCACCAACAAAACCCAGGGACGCCCAAGGCCTTGAGATAAAATGGCGCAGTATCCGCATATAATCTGCACGTCCTCCTGTGTGCTTCAAATCACTTCTAGGTCACTCATAATACCCGATACAATTAAATGCTATGTAAATAGCTGTTACACGGTATTGGTTTCCAATCTGTACCATTTTTTATATTTTCTATTTCTGATCTACCTGCAGCTGGCTGCATCTGTGGACGTGGAGGCTGCAGAGGAGGGGGCCGACTGGCTCTGACTCTCCCCCACCCACGCCTTCTCCCTTCCACCCCTCCCCCACCCTGCGGGCCGATTATGACTCACTAATGAAGTATTCAGAGAGTAATTTTACTAACACTTGTAACAGACACATACACTTAAAGTTTTGTTTGCTAACCTAGAAACATAAATACTGTAGAATTCTAGAACCAAGAAACAAACCTTTAAACCTTTCTATCTAAAAACTCAGTGTTTCTAGAGAAACTCTACCCTACCACCTGCAAACAATCCGTCATTCCTACAGATGCACAACAGAAGCATCGTCTTCCAGCTTTGCCGAAGGCTCTGACACAACCCTGTGCACGGCTATTCCACCCTCGGTGTCCTCAGCCCCCCTCCCTCCCCTAGCAGCTGCCAGGGCTCAGCTAACACGTGGGGCCGAGACGTCAAGTCTGGAACCTCAAATGGCCAGGGTCAGAGAGCTGGCCGGGCAGCGCTGGAGGGCCAGGTGCTGGAACATCCACCATCCACACACCCATTCACTCGGGACGGGGCGGAGGTGTGGGTGTGTTAAGAGAATAACAACACTTGGTTTATTTGGAAAATCCTGAGGTGACTGCAAATGACACAGAAACACATGCCCTGAAACATACACAGAATGTGAGAACCATCACTGCCCTAGATCAACACAAAGCTGGGCTTATCCTAGAATTCTGAAAACAAGAAATAATGAATTTAGAAATGTCATACTTTTAAGAATTTGAAGCAAAAAGTACCCCAATACAGATTAATTTTAAAACACCTGAAAACTGATTATAAAAATAAAGGATAACCTTTCACATTACATTTACTGTTATAATAAAAAACACCTAATTCTAAATACTAAAACAGAAAATCTAATATTCTCAATTTTTCCAACTAAATGGTAAAAAATCTAAGTTAATAGAGCTTAGTATTATATTTTTGATATGTATTATTTTTTTCAGACAGCTAGGATAATGTTTGGTACAACAAAGTGGTATACAATGAAACAAATGATCACAGATGACACTTTGGAAGTGAGCATTTTAAAATTTTTAGCTTGTTAAAAAAACGCCCTCCAACTTAATATTTATCCTACTTGTATTCCAAATCTTTTATCTTTGTAGTTATTTCATCTTCATTGTCTCTGAAGAATAACAAAAACAAGAACTTTTAGTTTTACCCAAGTTAAATTAGCTAAATTAGTTCTAAAACGCGTTGTGTGTGTGTCTATTACATATGTATGAATTTTTATAGTTTATTTCTAATATGAATGTAGCTTCCCTGAAGGAACCACCCAGAGTATCTGAACGAGCCTTAACACCTCCCCCGCACGTTCGCAGGGAAGAGTGAGACACATCCAGCACCCGGGCCCTGCCTGGCAGGCCAGGTTCACATCTGCAGGGCAGACAGGTGGGGCTCCCACAACTCGGAAAATGCCACCACCTACCATGTGAATGGCTCCCCCTGGAGTCTGGCTGTGTACAACCTCACCTACTATGTGCAACGTGGTATCTGGATTAGCGCGTTAGAAACGTTAAGGAAGCTGGGAACCTGCTGTACACACAAGGCAAAGCAGAAAGGCAGAGGACGAAGAGCTGAGGGCTCCTCCATGTGAGGGGAAACAGGCAATGCTGGGGACAATGCAGACCTCTTACAAAGGCAATTCAGAAGCAAGATCAGGGAAGTGGAGGGAAAACGGTTCCCAAGTGACTGAGGAAGTACCCTGGGCTCAGGAACACAATGACGAAATGGGTGGAAGACGCCCAACTTACAGACTGGACCCCGGGAAGAGGCCTGTCTAGGTTCTTCGGTCCCTCCTCAAGCCAGGAGGCACACGAGGCCCTGCCCCAAGTACAGAGAAGGCTGAAGTCTGAGCCCACCAGTGTGCCACACGGCACAAACTGAAAACGTGTCTCAGTATGCTTTGGTTCTATGCATACACTTCCTCAAAATGGTTCAACTTCTTTAAAACCCATGCCACTAGTAAGTTGTAAAAACTTAATACTATGAAATATGCTTTTAACTTTTTAAAAAAAGTCCAAGAAACTAGTTAAAAGAATCTATAAAAAACACTTTTATATTAATTATCTTTTTTAAGGTATGTCTCACCTCTCCAATAGATTGTAAACTCCTTAAGCGAGGACTGTGTTAAACATGGCTTGCCCGCAGCATTTAACATGCAATGCCTTTCACTATGTAAATGTTCAAAAAATACCTATTAAATAATTATTTTAAAACATCATTTAATAATGCATAAAGAACAGTGTGAACAAAAAGAGAATACAATAATAGGAATTTACCTCTGGAACCACTAGAACTAAAGCCACCTAAAATAATAGAATTTTTTTTAAAAAACCTTCAATTTTGAAGGTTTTCAACTTAGTGAAAAAATCTATACATAAACCAAGGTTCAACACAGAACTAATCAATCTTATAGAACTAAAAATTAAATCATTCTGTCTTATTCTAAATAGATGCAAAAAGACTGTACGGATAATGTTTCTAAAACCTCTAACATTTAAACTTCATAAGCAGCTAACTTACTGGCGTAGTCTGTTTTTGTGACGTTTAGGGGAGGAAGGAGCAGCAGCCAGAGCACTGCTGACTGCAGCACTGGCCCCAGCGGTCCCCAGGAGCAGGGCCCTGAATAAGGTTAATAAACGTGCAATAGTCCAAAAAGCGGGAGAACCCAAAAACGTCTTGGAGGAAATAAGCTTAACTTCTAATTTATCAATTGGAACTTATCCAAAAAGTAGTTTGATGTTCTATTTTCCTCAGATAAAAATCATAATGTTAATAATATGTATATCATCATCCATTCAAAAGGAAAATAAATATTTTCAACTCTTTTATTGCCAACAAAACAAAGAATTTTCAAAGTAAAACTGAGAGCACAGTTTTGAAATACAACAGTATGATTTTCACCTAGATAAAAACTGACAGTCAAACTACTTTTTGTTTTATGCCACCACTACTTTCTCGTGTTCTGATTATGGATAAACACAAGTGACATTTCAAAAGAAAACTCAGAACCCAGCTGACAGGACTGTGAGGCCACGGAGGCCCCGTGGTCCAAGGGCTGCTGCCTTCTCCTTTGCCCTCATGCATGTTACCTTGTCACCAGACTTCTGCTCGCTTGTCTTCTTCTTACCTTGTCCTTTATACCTTGGTATCTGAGCATGAGAATAAAATGACATTTTACCACAATATATAAATCTTCCAAAATAAACTAATTCATTACCAAATATTCGTATTAGAAAATTCCTTAAAAATGAAAAAATCTAACTAGGTTCCTCTCTGAAGCCTGCTCTTTTTGTCCTTTCTTAACTCTATTCCTAAAGTGGTTCATGTTTATACTGTTTCTAACAGTTTTGGTCAACTGCAGATACTGTAGCCTTCACCTGTTCAGCATCTATCTGGTGGAGAACCACGTCTTTCACGCTACATTTAGCAACGTTCTAAGCAAGCCTTGCTTGAATTCCTAAGCAGCCTCCTTTGAAGACTTGCCCCGACCTTTGTATCTTGCCCTACCTTCCTCAGGAGCACACAAAACTGGTTCCTAAAGCGGGGCTGGACCCTGTCCCTGAGGAGTCCCCAGCACTCTCCATGGGCTCTCAAGACTGACCAGGTCCCACTGGGAAGTAGCTGGCAAGAAAAGGGTGGGGAGAGTACTGGATCCCAAATCTGGGTCCTTTAGGATTACGGGGGAATTGCATTTTAAATGCCCAAATAAGGATTTATCTTAAAACAGATCCTACCCCAACCCCACCAAAGAGTATCTGAGGGTATTTCTGAAGTGGCCACCCTGGATATAGAGGCCAACTGAGAAATGGAGACTAGAGTGAAAATAACCAGAGGGCGGCAGGAGACGTGGGGCCGGCCACCTGCAGGACAGACACTGTTCTCTAAACCAGCCTCAGAAATGGCCATCACCTCTCTGTAAGAATTTGGAGCAGCATTTCCTAACTGACTTAAAACAGTTAAGATTCTCCTCCTAACTCTTAGATCTTAAAAAAAATTTAAATAAAATAACAGTATATAGAACAGACTTTAATATTTTATCCTGAAGACATACCTTATGTAGAAAGTTAGTATTGCTGAATTGCTTTAAAAAGTAAGAATTTGCTAAAAAGAGAGCTTTAAAATAGCTAAATGCTATATATAGGTACTTATAGGTATATAAGTATTCTGGAATAATTATTAATTTTAATCTCTCTAAAGCCAGACACTTTCATGGAAAATAAAGCTTTCTTACACAGGCTCTTTTATCTGCAATTCACTGAAGGAAATTTCTAAATTTACTCATGACCTTGTTCTCTCTGTTATCAGGGTTATAGCATCCCATGAGCATTAAGGAAAAAAAGCTCTTAAAAAAAGACCCTTTTATTAGAAATTCTCAGAAGGAAGGAACAACTATAAACAATAGAATGGTCTCTTTCTGTTGTTAGAAAGAGTACAAAATTCCTTTAGATTTCCAAACTCAATAAAAAGGAGCAACATCATCAAAGAACAAGCAAGAAATAACAGCAATCTTTCAGCAATGTTCTGAGCCTAGACATTTAAAAGGAAAGAAATCTAGCAGTATATTTACTACCCTCTGGAAGTTTATCTAATTTAAAAAGATGCAACTTTTTTCTTAGGTCAATATACCACTATGGGCCATGTAAAAGCCTAATCTTTCGGAACGTATCCACAGCATACCTCTTTCCCTACACAATGGAAATCAAAGGAACAAACACAAAACTGATCTGTGACAGACTGTACGTGTGTGTCCTGTCCCCGCCGACTTCACACGTTGAAATCCTCACCCCAGTGTGATAGCATTAGGAGGCAGGGCCGCTGGGAAGCACTTAGGTCATGAGGATAGGGCCCTCGTGAATGGCACTAGGTGCCCTCCTAAAAGGGACCCAGAGAGCTCTCTTGCCCTCTTTCCACCATGCGAGGACACACTGAGAAGACAGCACTCTGCGACCCAGAAGAGGGCTCTCACCAGAAACCCACCATGCTGGTGCCCTGATCTTGGACTTCCAGCCTCCAGGACTGTGAGAAATAAATTTCTGTTGTTTATAAACCACTGAACCTATGTTATTTTGTTATGGCAGCCTGCATGGACTAAGACAGGATCCAAACCTACCCTTTGATAAGATTGGCAGGTACTACCAATTCATGCCAACCACCTGAGACAACAAATTTCCTGACAATCATCTTTCTATCCATTATCTGTTATTTCTATATTTATCATTATCTATATCCTTGATCTTAAATTCAAGTGTCCAGTTTGTTTTTTTCTTCCATTATGCCAAATCCCTAAAATCAGGTCTTACCTTTAACATCTCATAAACACATACACAACACCTGCATGCACACACATACACACACGAATGTAGCCAGAGTACACACATTTTCTTATAAATCCCATCAAAACAGCTCATTTTTATTAAAAACATCATGATTTACAATTCCAAATCTGATCACCCATCTAGAACTCTACAATAGGCAATGCAACAATTTTATATTCTGGAACCTAATATCCTCAAGCTAGAAACTTCCAAATGAAAAGAAGGTAAACCTTGTTAATGGAAGAAAAAAATGTTCAAAGTACCAAACGAATCCAAATATTCTACAATTCTGTTATTTAACAGCGTATTCCCTTCCATGATACAATGTGAAACTACTACAAAGCAAAAAAAAAAAAAAAAAAAAAAAAATTTTAAATATATACTTAATCAAAGGGAAAAAACTACTTTCAAGAAACTAAAGAGCAATTGTGTTACAAAACTTGTAACAAATTAAGACCAGAGAGAGAAAAACAGAGCCCTCTGGAGTCGTAGACCAGAAGTCACTGCAGTACCCGGGAGCTGACTCACCTTACTTGGCGGTGTGTGCACACTTGCTTTTTCTTCTGGTGACTTTGGTGGAGGATGTACGTCAGATAGCTCTAGTGCACCCTGAAATATTTCAGTTTAAAATTAAAACATATTTAAGAATAAAACATCAATATACTAATTACACTTCAATGGAATTTCAGCATTTCACTACACAATGCTGGTATTTTTATTTTTTCCTCAATATAAATACCCTTTTTAGATTTTTCTTTAACTTTACACACACACACACACACACACACACACACACACGCACACCCCTAGATTCTGATGATCTGCAGAGCAGTTCATTCAGCCTCAACAGGCTGCGCAGTCCCCCCACCTAACTCCTCACCCCCTTCCCACTCTCCAGGCCAGCGTCATCCTGTGAGCCTCGAGACCCACTTTCCACCCTCCTTGGCTTTGCTTCCCTACTTCATTTTCACTCACGAAAAATACCAAATAGCAACTCTCTCATAAAAAACTTCACCCCTTCAAATGGCAGCACTCTCTTCCTCTTTCATACCCCCATACATTTTTTTCTTTCGTTTTAAAGCCCTCGTTCTAGCACAGCTGTCACAGGTCACGTGCCTGTCTTGGTGCTGTCATCACCGGTTCGTCACCGTGGTAAACACTAGGCAGGAGTCTGTAAAAGTGTTTCTTGAATCGAATTCACTTCCTAAAATTCACCCACTACTATTGTCACAACCTCTGTGACACTGTGTACATATCACATATTGGCTAATTTTGCTACAAAAATCCTCTACAACGTTTTAAACACGAGAATGTGCTGCTCTAACTTTGTTCCCTCGAGTCCACTCTTTCTGATGACAGCATCAGCTTCTCCCAGGCTAAAATCTTTAATGTTGCCTCTGAGAGCCCTTCTTTTACCCACATTGCCTTCTATGCCCCGGTCCTACGCCAAAACATTAATTGACTGAGCCTTGCTGACTTCTCCTTTGAAAGGTCGTCCTCATCTGTGCATTTATTTCTATTCTTACTGCTACTACTCTTACCTAGATTTGCCTTTTTATGGGTCTCACTTTTTTCTAGTCTTCTAACTTCTCCATATTTCACCCATCTAACCTCCATAAATCTGTCCTCCAAATGACACTGCTGTACGAAAGTCCTCAAAGACTTCCCACTGACTGTGAACAAGTATCTGTCAGAAGTCACTGTGTGTTAGATCCCGCAAGGGATACGAAGATAAAGCCCTTGTCCACATTAAACATATGACCCAGTAACAGGGCAGAGACATGTGCAGATCACTATTACGACCTGGCAGAATGAGGCTAAATTACGTACAGCTGCCAGCAGGGAGCGGGCAGAGCAAGAGGAAACCCCTGAGTCACAGTTGAGGGGAAACCAGAATGATAAAAGTCCACAGCTAGGGCAAGGGAAAGACGTGTAATTTCAGGTGGAGAGTAAGGTAAGAAAATAAGAGAAAGAAAAAAGCACAAGCCACTTTCAAAGCGTAAGTTCAATGTGGCTTAAGTATAAGCTTCTACACTTCAAAAAAAGGTGCGCAGGCCTAAATGATGGGCCAGACGATTATCATGCAGGATCTTGAATTATGGCTGAGGATCTGGAAACCCTTCAGTTGCCGTCACACAGCCATTGCACTTCTAAAACAGGGAAGTAACAGACGAAGAGCTGAATTTTAAAAATAAATTGACAGTGAATAGCAGAGATTGAAGAGACGAGCATCCTTAGAAGGAAACGATTAGAACCCTTCGGAGGAATGTTCACAGGTGAGGACCTGGCTGATAATGTGGCAAAGGAGATGAAAGCGATTCATTGAGGAGCACAAAAAACAAAAATGTACGTGTTTTTAACTAACTACAGCTGAAACTACAGCTGAACATTCAATAAAATCAACCAAAAGTCCCATTAAAGGTATGTGGGGCACAGCAAGTTAATACTTAGGGTGGGTTTTAAAATGCAATTTTGATAAAAACCATCAGTAATCGAGTTCAATGGGCTTAACACACAGCTAGTTTTCTACGATCAAAAGTCAAAAGTCAGTAAAACCTCTAATTTTTTATCTTAACATATATGACAGGTTTCCTCTCAAAGTAACAGAATAAAACACTAGTAAAATGATGGAAGAGCCAAAACAGACATCTTTGAGACCCCTATTTTAAATATTTGTTTATACATGTATACATATATACACAGCTATTAAAATGAAATACCCAGATGTTAAGAGGGGAAAACTAGCAGAAAGTGGAGATCAAATGTTCAGCTTAATGGTTTTGCAATTCAGGGGAGTAAAACAATTCTGTTTTGAAGACACAGAATTCCTACTCTGGGTCTATGTGCCAGAATCCCAGTTACGAAACACGGCAAACTGACGGGAGGGTTCAGGTCCACCAGACACAATGCAGTGCCGAAGAATACAGTGACCAGTTCTGATTTTCAAATCACGCCATCCGCACAAGGCGGCTCTTACAGGGTCTGTCTGAGGCAGACGCGCTGTCTAGCACAGGAGAGAGAGCCTTCCTTCCAGCAAGCACTCTTCCTTCCAGGCCTGCTGCCAGAGCTGGCGGGTGTGGGCGGGAGTGAACCCTTCCCAACAGGACGACTGAATCCAGCACACACGTGAAGAGGTCCTTCGGCTGGAACCAAGGAGTCACAGGAACAGAATATAAATGGAAGTGAGCGAGACCTGGAAGAGGGGTTTTTTTGAGGGGAGGAGTGGAAATGTCCTTACTGTTTTTACCTTTTTAGAAGTGAAGAGAATAAAGTCAATTTTTCCCATGGGCTTTAAATGTGCCAGTGGGGGATCCACGTGCAGAGCTGTGGATTCTGGTCAGGAGCTAGGGGAAAGGACTGAGCTGGACTAAGGCAGACCAAGCCGGACTTAGGGAGCCATCCATACAGTAACGCTAACAACAACAACAAGAAGTAATAGTAATAATGATAACACCACAAGTCTTCCTTGGCTTTTGTAGGGCACTGGTTCCAGGCCTCTCCCTCAGACACCAAAACCAGCAGATGCCCAGGACCCACATGAGAAATGGCGTGTATTTACATATAACCTGCGCACATCCTCCCATATACCTAACACAATGTAAATGCTATGTAAATAGTTGTTATGCTGTATTTCTTTTATTTGTATTGTTTTTTATTGTTATTTTCCCCACATGTGTTCAATTCATGGTTTGTTGACTCGCTGATGTGGGACTCACAGATACGGACGGCCAATTGTAAGGATACACGGGGTCTATGTGCCAAGCACCGTTCTAGAAGCTTCACACACACTACCTCCTGTGGTGCCCACAACCCCATGAGGTGCTGCTTCTGCGATCTCCATCCCGCAGACAAGGAACCTAAGGCACAGGGAGACTGAGTGACAAGGATGTGGCACAGCTGAGGTTTCGCCCAAGCAGCCTGGCTCCAGAGCCCACGCCACAAGGAAGGGAGCTCAAACCGAGAGGAAAGCATGCGCAACCCCCTCTGTAATGAGGTGAGCCACAGAGCAACCAAAAAGGAAAATGAAAGTGCAGGCAAAAAGAGAGATGAGTCTGGGCCACAGCCACCAACAAAGGGTGAGAAAGAGAGATGTCACCGCCACCTACAGACTGGCGGTCCAGGAGACTCTCTGGGGTCCTTTGTTTTTTTATTCCCTAGTATAATATCTAACACAATGTCCATCAAATAACACACTAAAAAACTTGTTAAATAATTGACGAGTGAAGGAATGAAATGAAAAGGCACAAGCCGAGTGACAACTTGTGCTCTCAACAAGCTGACTCACTCCTGACCCTGGACCTGGCCACGCTCTCCTGCTCCCACACTCTGCTGGCACTGTTCTGCCCTTTCTGAACACCCTTCCCAATCCTCACTCCACAAATGACACCCTACTCTCACTTT